AATACAACTATATTATTAATTATTGCTTTCTTGTGCTATTAGAATTAAAGTCTCAAACGATAAATAATAGAAACAATATATCGGCCATGTTTAGGAGTCCAAATATGATTAAAAAGTGAAATAAAAAAATTAGGAATATCAATTAGTTGGATTTGGAGTAGGATTAAGCACGATAATTAATAGAAACAAAAAATCGGCCTACCATGTTTAGGAGTCTCAACATGATTAAAAAATAAAAAAATAATTAGGAATATCAATTAGTTGGATTTGGAGTAGGATTAAGGCAGAAGAAATTTGCGGCTATTCCAAGCTTCTAGAACATCCTAGGCCTATTCTCCACAGGCAAAATTCGTCCCTATAAGTAAAGGCCTCCTCTTAGCCCAACAATCACCAGCAAACAATCTTCAGAGCAAAACAAATTCATCTTCTCAATCCAAAAAAAAGATGACAATGCAGTTCTTCGTCAAAACCCTCACCGGAAAAACAATCACCGTCGAGGCCGAAAGCTTCGACACAATCGACACTGTCAAAGCCCAGATTCAGGACAAAGAAGGAATCCCACCCGACCAGCAGCGCCTAATCTTCGCCGGAAAACAGCTCGAAAACGAGCGAACGCTGGCCGATTACAACATCCAAAAGGAATCGACTCTCCATCTCGTTCTCCGCCTACGTGGCGGCAGTCAAATCTTCGTCAAGATGCTCACCGGAAAAACAATCACTCTTGATGTTGATAGTTTCGACTCGATCGATAATGTGAAGGCCAAAATTCAGGACAAAGAAGAGATTCCGGCCGATCAGCAGCGGCTGATCTTCGCCGGAAAACAGCTGGAAAACGAGCGAACGCTGGCCGATTATAATATACAGAAAGAATCGACTCTTCATCTTGTTTTGAGGCTTCGCGGTGGAATGCAGATCTTCGTGAAGACGCTCACCGGAAAAACAATCACTCTTGATTTGGAAAGTTTTGACTCGATCGAGAATGTGAAGGCTAAGATTCAGGACAAAGAAGGGATTCCAACCGATCAGCAAAGGCTTATCTTTGCCGGAAAACAGCTGGAAGACGGGAGGACTTTGGCCGATTATAATATACAGAAAGAGTCGACTCTGCATCTCGTCTTGAGGCTTCGCGGTGGCTTTGTTTTGGATTCTGTTTGAGTGTTTTTTAGTCTGGTTTTTAAGTTAGCTTTTATTATGAATAAATTGGTTTACTGATATTAATTAATATATATGATGATGGTATTTTTGTGTTGATTTGTTTCTCTGCTTCTAGTAAAGGACTATTACAGATTATATTGATGATGGATTTGCAGTAAATTGGTTATGGGTTGTGTAGCTTCAGATCTTATGACTGAGAAAACTATGAACCCTTTTGTTCATAGATGGAAGTCTTACAAGTTATAACCAATACACAATAACACTATTCGCAGCAACAAGTGTACATGTTTTCATAATCAAATTTGTCATGCTTTTAAAATACAATACAACTATAAGTATGATATATTGATACGAGGATATTTTGATATTTCATAAGCATTTTTTTAGTAAGAAACAGAAGGTCATATTTTAAAATACAATATGAATAAAAATATTTCATCATATTAATAGNATTAATTAGTAGTTAGTAACCTAACCTAACATTATCATGTTTATTGTATTCTTGCAATATTTTTTTTCTTCACTGGTATTAATCCTTATTTTAAATCTCGATCTATTCGTGTCAAATTTGATCAATTATTGGAACTTCATCAAACTTAAGGTGCAATTTATATATTAGTCAACAAATTTAACCATAATTTTGACTGTTTTGAAAAACAAAAAAAAAAAATTCATAATTTTGACTAATTTCGATTGATTGATTGTATTATAAAATTGAAACCGTTGTTTAAATATCCCTTTTATATATAATTTCAGAATGCGCTGAGCAAAGTGGTAGTTTCGTATGTTTCGTAATCTTACATGGCAAAATATTATGCTTTGTAATATGACTTGGACAAAAATTATTAATTTTTTTTATACCAAATGACTTAGGTTCGAATTACCATATATATACACATATTTAATATATTTAAATCATTCCATATTAAATAGTACTCTTTTAATATAAGTATAGATTAGCAAACTGTAGAATCTATTACTATATAATACGGAGAAGAAAAATTATTTGAACAATCCGAAAAAAATCATTTCGTTTTCCCGCTTCAATATAGTGTTTTTCCCGCTTATTCAATTCGTAAATTTTTTTTTTGAAATTTTTCACCCTTGCAATTAGGTAACCAATCAAATCGAATATTTTAGCATTCAATTTGGTAAGGTGTTCCGATTTTAGCATTCAAATCCGATTTCACTTCCTTTTTTTATGCCAATCAATCTGATTTTTTTGGTTGTTTCAAGATTTGTTTAGATTTATATTTTTATTTTATTAATATATTTGAAAGAGAATCAATAAATGTTTATCATAAATTTTATTTTAAAATAAATTTGAATAAGCATACCTTTTACTTTATATGAAATTCAAAATTACATATTTTAATATATTAATCAACGTTTATTATTTATTTTTTTCTTATGTGATATAATAGAATTTCGGTATTAAATTTGTAAATTCAAACATTTAAAGGAAAAGATTCCAATAAATTTTTTTGGGTAAATTTCATTTTATCTTGGTTTTCATTATCACATTTCTAACAAACTAATTAGTATTATATTTTTTTTATCTACATTATCTAACCGATTTTTTATGATACAATTAATATAATTTCTTAACAAATTAATTATTTGTCTAACCGAATTTATCTCTCTAACAAACTTGCCAAATTTTTTAAAATTAAAATGGTATGATTATTTTATGGAGATACTTATCAATATATTAAATATTTAGAAACTTTTATTAAAAATTGAGTTATCCCTCATTTTACTTTATTTGAAATTCTGACTTATATTTTTAAATATACTATTATTTGTTTTTTTACATGTAAATATTTATTATTTATTATTTAAGTGATAAATATTATTGATTTATCTCTTTAATAAATATTTATTATTTATTTTTTTCCGTACGTGATATAATATAAATTTGGTTACTAGATTTTTAAATTCAAACATTTAAAGGACAAAACCACGAACAAATTTTTGGTTACATTTCATTTTATTTTAACTTCCATATAATCACAATCCTAACAAACTAATTAATATAATATTTTTTTACCCATTTTTATATAATCGGATTTCTTAAAATATAATTAATATAACATTTTAACTATTTAATCATTTGTATAACTTGATTTAACTCATTATCAAACTTGCCAAATTTTTTTTGAAATTAAAAAAAATTTAGAAGATTTTTATTTGTAAAATAATAAAAAATAGATTTACTTTAAAGTCTGGATTATTTCCATTATTTTTTGTACGTTAACAATCATATATTTTGGATTATTGATTAAAAAAACAAATCAAAACCGTAAGGTTTAATAATATTCCTTAAATAAAAAATATTGTATAAAGAAAAGTATTTAATAATATATATTTTTCATTGATTGTATTTATTTTATTTTCATATAGACGAGATGTGAAAAATATAAATAATTATATTTAAAATAAAGTCTAAAAAAATGTTTAAAATATGAACTCTTTCGTGCACCGCACGGGATATACACTAGTTAAAAGTATACAATTCCAAAAAAACTCCTTTACCTCAAATAATAATCTTCCTCTAGAAAAAAGCCCTGCTACCATAAAACACCCTGGCATTAATCTCCCTTTTCTCCTTCTCCATCTCGATTTTCTCATCATCATCTTGAATCAAATCCCTTGGTCCATCCATGATTTTGGGCTTGTCCAACTCCATTGGAAGCTTCATTTTAGCCAGTGACTCTGTAAACTGCTGCATGCTCCTCATGTACATATCCACTATCTGTTTCCCCATATTCCCATTTTCCTCACATTTCTTCTTCCAGATAGACAAATCCTCAAAGAACCCGCCTTTTTCGGGATAAATAGTGGTAATAAGGCTTTCCGGGTCAAGGGAGAGCGATAATTTGACAGTTCCAGCTGGCGAGTGAAACAGGTCTGTCGACGAAAGGTCAAAAATTCGGGTGACTTTCCCTTTTCCGGGAACAGAAGAAATGGGGACGAGAGCAAAACCGAGAAGCTGATCATTCCATATCTCGCATTTTAAGACAGCGTCCGCCTGGCGGATTTTCATGATCAGCCTCTCGTCGAAATTTAAATCCGGGTTTTTGTTGATGATCCTTGTGGAGAGAGTCTCGTCCGGATTGTAGGTGAAGGAGAATTTGGCGTGCATGTCTTTGTTGTCGTGTATGCATATATTGTGGACGTAAACTTGGAGGATGGCCGAGAAGGATTGCTCGGATTCTTGAAATGTTCCGTGGTTGTACGTGAACCGGGACTCCATTGTCTTGTGCTAGATCAAGAAAAAGAGTGAAAAAGGATAATTTACGTTTGGGCAGGGAAAGAAAATGATTATTATTGTTAGAAAGTGAAATGGATGGGAAGGGATGTTATTTTGTAAGTGAGTTTAGGACAATTCCAAGAGAGACTACCAAATGCTCATCTTTTCAAGGGGAAAATGGGGTGGTGGAAGGAATAAAGTAGGAGTTTTAGAGAGATCATGAGAGAGTGTGGAAGAGGTAGATATAGATAGTCAAAGAAGATACTATCCACATGACACATATAAATAATATAAAATATTTATCACATGCTGCATATCTCAATGTCAATGCAAGAAAATGAGAAATATTACATCATATTCGAAGACAACAACTCATGACCACTAATATAATGTTAGAATCGTTGCCCTTCCAACTGCAAAATATTAATTTATATATGGTAGGCAAAAGACCTACGACCGGTTGAATTTGGCCTGAATATGAGCTCCTCGCCGGTTGAACGCCTTTAGATATGCAAAAACTTTCATACTGGAGGGATTTTTCGGTGAAAAGTCTTCAATGTTTAAATTAGCACTTGTACAATATGAAGTGCAGTATTTAAATATATGCAGAGAGCGTAATGTGCTAATGGACATACCTCACTCTCTTATATAGGGAAATGATACATTGTTGCCCAAGAGTGCCCGAATGGGCTGCCCGTTAGTACTGCCTGAACTGCACAATTTGCCCAATCTGTCTGAACTGCCCAATTCTGTTAGGTCATGTGGCCCTATCCACGTGTGGCTCTTATCCTCCTAAGATTCTTTTTTATCTCTTAGTCTTTTGTATTAGATCGATAAATGGTGCGACCAAGTCTAGGTCGGCTGATGTAGAATGATGCCTGTTTTGAGCCTAAGTGTTGTCCTTTCTGGTCGATCACACGGCCAACCATACCTATAGCTTGAGTTTTCAGCAGGCCATCCGAGAACTCTAGTTCCACCTGTCGTTGTCCCTCTGAACCCCTCTCACTCCTTTCGACCTGAAGATGCCTTGTCGATATTTGACCTTCCTGTTGCTCTGCTTCGAGCACCTGGTTCGTTCAACCTGATTGACCGATTTATCGTGTTTGCTTTTCCGGGCATGGTACTCCATATATATATATATGATTGGGTTCACATGAGAATGGTGCTTAGTGAAAGAAATGATAATAAATCGTAGCCACTAGATCGGATGATCTAATGACTAAAAAAAGTCAAAATCTTGGACTCATTAAGGATAATTTGGGCATTTCCATTACACATCAACACCAACATAATATCACCAAGCCACATCACCACCCACTCACCAAACACACACAAAACACACGCATACACACATAAAACACATGCATGCACACACACACACACACACTCACAACACATCACCCCCGATCAAGCACACACACACACACACATTCACGCCGGCTCTGCCTCGACGTCAGCCCAGCTCTGCCCGACCGCCTCCCTGATCCGCCCCACAGTGCCGCCGATCGCCGCCATCCCCTGCCGGAATCCGGCGGCCGCGTGTATTCACTTAAACTTCGTGTTAGTGCACAACCGCTGAAGAAGAACACCATCTCGCCACACCGCCGACTTCCATCTCGTGTTAGCCGCTGTAACCTTCTCCCACCACCACGCGGAGCCGAAGTCGCCGTCCATGAGTAGGTCGACTAGAATTTGTCGGCCATCCTAGGTCCGCACGCCTCAGCTCACCGTCGCACACTGTGCTCCGTCTGTCCAACACCTCTCCATATTCTTACGCTACCGTCTCGTTTCCATCGGTTTTTCGCCGCCACCGCCCGCCATAGTTGTGACCTCACCTTTTTTCGAGCCGAATTCAGCAAATCGGACGTACGAGCAGCCTTGGATGCGTCTTCGGGGGGCAACGGCACGTCTTCTTCTGCCGGGGCGGTTCACGGCGGCAAAAAACGGGGTACTGAAAATGGCGGACGAACGTGGCAGTGAGTTGGGATTTTGGGGGCTTGAAGTTAAAAATTTGATTAATCACAAGGACTCAATTGCAATTTTAAATTTTTTATTATATTTCAATTTGACCCATGGGACAAATCTGTAATTTACAAACAATATATAAAAAGTATTATTTTTTATACATTTGTATACATATATTTATTATATTCTTTTGAACTAAAAAAATAATATAAATCTATATAAAATATTAAAATACTAAATATACTTGTTTGACAATAAATAATAAAATATTTAAATTATTTAAGATAATTCGATTAACAAATCGAATAATCCTATTATTTCAGTTTGGTTTAGTTTGGATTCGTACATAAAAAAATATATAATTTTGGTTAGTTCACATCAGTGACTATCACATTGCACAAAAAGGGTTAGGCAGAACGCACATTAATACAGTTGAGAACTCACACTAACATAACATTTGTACATTTCACATATACTAGAATTTTGGTTAGTTCGTTTCGGACTCGAATTTATTTACAAAATAAAAAATAAAAAATAAAATAACAAAACCAACCAAACTATATAAATAAATTATTTTATATTTCAATATATATATATATATATTATTTATTTTCAACAAACAATTATATAAAAAATTAAAATAAGTTTAATAAATATATATATATATATATATATATATATGATAAGTATATCATTTTTCACATAAACTTACACAATTATATTAAAATAGTAATTGTATTACTCTTTTTACGAATAATTCAACTACAATTATACTCTTTTTACACTTTTGTATAAATTTTTTTCTAATTTAAATAAATTGAATGTATAGTAAATATGTGAAAATAAAAATTGGTAATTTTTTAAAAAGAAGACCATATACGATATGTTTGATATGTTTGGTAAAACTAGTTGATAGCTGACAAACTAGCTTATAGCTTATATGTGATTTTCGAGATTATAGCTTATAGCTTATGACTTATAGTTGAAAAGCTAGCTTATATGATAAAAGTGTTTGGTAAAATTAGATGATAAGCTAACTGAAATAAAAAATTCAACTAGTTTATTTGGAAAAGCTACTTAAAGAAGCTTATGAGATAAGCTCGAAGTTTTTAAAAAAGCTCGTTGTTGACGGACGTTTCCGGTCAACGGTTAAAAAGGTAAATAATGAGAAGATTGATAGATCGAAAAATGTACATGTTTTATATATTTAATAGTGTATTTTTATACACTTAATTTATTCGCACATTTATATTTTTCGGTTTATTTATTGTTTGGATGGATTTATTTTCTTTAATATTTTATGTATTGTTTTCAGTATTTTGGAGCAATTTTTGGATCCGGTGCATTGGACGAAGATACCCGTTAATTGGGCTAATGCAATAAAGCTTTAAGATTATTTGGGCCTATTATAGTGCAATTGAGCGGGTGCTTGGATTTTCCTGGAAGTCATAATTGGAAATCAATTTGAGGACATTGATTTATTTTCCTAGAAGTCACCTAAACTCACGCGCAATAGGGGGCTAGAAATTTATTTGCTATGGGATTTTGAGGAGAATCATTGGCTGGAGAAGACTCCCTCTCACACAGGAAACTTGGGAAATTAATTAACTAATCATTTGAGGTAGTGGAAAAAGGCCACGGATTATTTTACGAAAGGAGAGCCATAAGCAGTGGACAGAGGAGAAAAATAAAAGGACGCAGACAGAGCCAAACACACACGCGGAAGAGAAAAAGCTACGCACGCGGAGGGAAGCCGCACACGCACACGAGGGAGATATTAATTCTCTCTCTTTTATCTTTTCTTTATTTTTATTAGTATGTTAGGCTAGGATTTTATCCCGTTTGAGGGGATGTTTGAACCCTAACTTTGATTTGTCTATGGATTGAAGGATTTATTTTTATCGTTGATTAATCGAGACGCCGTATTTATTTTTGTTGATGAGTTGATTCATGCTATCTGTGTTTAATGTTTATGAATTATGAGTATTTGATTTAGTTTGGCCAACTACGTTGAATGTTCATGGTTTAATTGCTAAATTCGAGGCTTTAATCCGTAATTGTTATTGTCTCGTTTCATTAGTAGTAAACTAGGGGTCGTGCATCTCTAGAGTAGCATGAGCATAAGTTAAATGGTCTGAGCTTTTGCGTCCATTGCTTAGACTGATCTATTTTCCTAGGAATTAATGCTGCTAGTGTATTAAATCTAGAGAGCTTATTCTAGGTTGTCCGCTAGTTAGGTTTAGTCGAAGAGCTTATTTCGATTAAATATTCGGTAAGGGAAAATTCGGTTAACAGAGCTTGTTGTTGGCTAGGGTCGGTAATTCATTAGCAATTTAAAGAAAGCGTCAAAATTAATTAACGGTAGATTGAGATTGGGTGATAACTGAACCGAGAACTGGACTTCTCTTATTTTATTAGATTTTTATTTTATTTTCTTATTTTTATTTAAATTTTATAAAACCAATCCCCCCCCATCTTTTATTGCTTTCCTAGTTTAATTCAATTAATACGAGATTGTCACAATTTAATTCCTACTCCTCGTGGGATCGATCCTTACTCGCCACTACTACTAGTTAGTAGAGGTTAGTTGAGGAAAATAATTATAAATTTAAATTTGCCGCATAGCGACGCGCGGCCAAAGATAACGAGAAAAAGATGAGAAGATGAGATTTAATTATAGTTTTATTAATGGATCACGAGGTCGGCCTCTCGTACGAGGTCGGCACTTGCGATATAGTTACAGATTCTTACGCGAATTTCTTACAAGTCTAGAGAGAGAAAACGTAGAGAGAGTTTTTACAGTTGGGATTCAACAACCCAAAAATAAATGAGGGGGTTGCTATTTATAGTGCTCTTTAATGCGGCACTGTTCAGGTACTGTTCACCGGTCTTGTCGCACAGTAGTTCGGCAGAACGGACCGCCTTTTCTCTGACTGATTGGGAGTGATTCCTGGATTTCCCAATCATTATCTGCCACGCATTTAATACGGGTGTAGGCTGCATTTAATGCGGACATGCTCTCTGGCCGAGCTAAACGT